GCGCACGTGTGTGTGTGTGTATGCGTGTGCATGTGCGTGTGTGTGTATGAGTGCACGCGTGCGTGCTTGAGTGTGCGCGCGCTTGTGTGTATGTGTACTCGTTTGTGTGTGCATGTGCCCGCGCGCGCCCTTGTGTGTGTGTGTGTCTATGCGTGTATGTGTATATGTGTCTGCGTGTACGGGGTTACGCCTTGTATTTGTGCTGTTTTCAGCCCCAGATAGCCGGACGTACCGCCGCGTGTGCTACCATACTAACTGGGCGCAGTACCGGAGCGAACCGGCCACGTTCCTGCCGGAGGACATCGACCCCTGGCTCTGCACCCACATCATGTACGCCTTCGCCATCTTGGAGGGAAACCGGCTCAAGGCGTATGAGGCGAATGACGAGAGCACGTCGTGGCAGACCGGGATGTACGAGCGTACCAATCGCTTGAAGGTGAGGTCATTCTCACTCCCCAGATTCACACACGCTACAGGAAAGTATCGCAGACCTACTCTCCAAGCAGAGGTTTGGGTTTGGAGTTACTTTTGGCGTGTTTTAGGCTTTTTTTATCGGGGTTTCTCTTTTGCACTGGACTTTTTTTTTGTTGTTGTTCGTATGGTCTTTGGAATTCTCGTTAGGTTGTAGACCGAGTTCACACTGTGTGTTAAGTGTATGATTCACGGTGTTTTTCAGACTCAGAGTGTATGATTCTCGGGAATCTTTCAACGTATCATGTTCATGCCTTTTGTATTGTGATTGCAACGGACTGAGTCAGTGCATAGTGTATGTTATAACATACGCAAAACAATCAAGTTGTAAAATAGTTTTTAATGGTTTACAAAACAACATAGTTTTCAACTAGCGCCTGTGGTTTGACAGGCATACTGCTCATTGTGTAATAATGGGAATTCAACAGTAGTTCTCCAACTAAACAAAATCGATTCACCGGAATTTTTTTTACCGAATGCTCGGTTTTCATTAGCTTTATGATCCAAGCGCTGTAAAAACCGGCGTCAGCACTTGGTCAAATTTCGCTGGAAGTTGGAACCGCCGACCGTCTCGGTTGAGAGAAGATTGTTGTGCCCTGGTGTAGATAGCTTCCTTCTTATTCGTAGTAGTACTCCCATATCTAAGGATGACATCCCCTTCATAGGTGTTGATGAAATGATGTTTCAGAAAAGATATATCGTTTGCATCAAGTAAAATTCTGAGACATCGTTGACCTAACATTTAACAAAAACCATGAAATATCCCGGTCTCATACAGGCACAGTACGTTCTGCCCAAGTGCCTGTTACGACCAGTGGTAGATTAGCTATTTATCGGTTTGAGATCACTGTGTGACTTTTCCAGGACACCAACCCCGAGTTGAAGATCTCCCTGGCCGTGGGTGGCTGGAACGTCGGTTCGGGACCCTTTTCCGACATGGTGTCGACGTCTGCGAACCGAGCCGAGTTCATCCAGACGTCGATCGCGTTTCTCCGTCGGTGGAACTTTGACGGACTGGACCTGGACTGGGAGTACCCCGCCCAGCGTGCAGGGTCGCGCCCTGAGGACAAGCACAGGTTCACGCTTCTCGTGCAGGTAGGGAGTTTGTATGTCTCTTTTCATGACTACCGAAGGAAAACATTGTTTTTGCTCAGTCTTCTTCTTTTTGCTCTTCTTCTTTCAACAAATAAGGTCAATGACCTAAACCAGACGTCTGTCACTATGCCGGGGGGTGTTAGCTAGACTCCTATTACCATACGTATGAATGTGTTTGGGTAAGAACTAACAGAGCAGCCCATATGCAAAGGTAAACATTATGCATTTACTTTTCAATGTTACCTTTCTAGGTTGAATTTTTTTTTGGAAATCCCCTGTCACAAATAGCCGAATATGGCCTCCTGAACTTGGCACTGCCATTTACCCGAATTACGGTTGGTATTGGGTCAGGAGCAAGGTCGGCTGCGGTTGGCTGTACTCGGTTACTGTTACTAGAGTCGAATGTTTCAGAATGTTAAAAACATTTGGGAGTGAATGGGCCATGGTTGGGGACAGGATGGTTGGGTTGGGGGTTAGGTCGGTTCAGGGCGCGGTTGGCAGTCACATTTGACTCTAATTTAACTCAAATTCGACTCAATTTGTTTCGCGTGACTTGAATCTGGTCAGACTGCTCCCGAACTTCGGCCAACTGGTTGGTGATAGGGAAACGTCTCTGAATGTGTGACAGGGGCTTAACCTTGTTAACCTTGAACCATGTACAAGTAATCACTCTTCGGCCTATAGGCCTTCTAAGGAGGTCGTGGATATTGTTCACTCCACATAGAAGCAAACAAGAGTTAACAATAATAAATTCAAGATATAATCATACTAGTATTCAGTAATCAAGAATAATTAACGATAGTATCATTCCTTATTCCATAATCATATTTAGTTCTTAGTGGTTCGGCGCAACATGTTTTTAATGTTGCAACTGAAGGCGCCGTTCTGAAGTTCAGTGTTAAACTATTACTACTCTTACCAAATGGGTAATATTACAATGTGCTTCAACTTTTATTCATTTTCTTCGTGCACACCATAAACTATTGATGATTTTATGTGGACCGAGTCCCTTCAAAAACAACTTGACAGAGTTGAATGAATGAATGAATGAATGAATGAATGAATGAATGAATGAATGAATGAATGAATGAATGAATGAATGAATGAATGAAACAGAGTGAGTGAGTGAGTGAGTGAGTGAGTGAGTGAGTGAGTGAGTGAGTGACTACACGGATGGATGAATAGATAATCTGTTACTTTTATTTACTACAGGAGCTGAAGGTGGCATTTGAGGCGGAGGTTCTGTCGACAGACCAGGAGCGCCTCCTGTTGAGCGCCGCCGTACCTGCAGGGGAGAGCAGTGTCTTGGCTGGTTATGAGGTTAATCTTATTGCAGAGTGAGTTTTCTAAATTAAAGGCATCCAATGCAATCATTGCATTTGACAACACAAAAAAATTCTGGATGAGGAAATCTGTATCATAGTTGATATTTAAATGTACTGCCCTTTCTTAGCACATTTTCGTCAGCCTTTCATACTAAAAAGCAAGGAATCCTATTTTGCTTGTTACCACCAATGGATAGCTTAAAAAGCAGAGTACGATACGAAACGAGCAGCTATCAGTATGCTTTAGGATATGATTGATTTAAATACGTCAAAAATAACCAGAAAGTTCACCTTGAAAATCGAATTAAAATTTTACAGACCTAAAATCGCTTTGGGTGCCTTCAAACTCCCAATATACATAGCTACGGACGTACCTTCCTAGCCTGTTGGCCTGTCTGGTTTCCAAGGGTGGGTTAAACGTTATAGTGAGTACTAAGGCTTCCCTAAGGTCTCCTTTAACCACAGAATCACTCTTACATAGTCCGTTGCGATTAAAACCCATATGTGTATGTCGCTATCGCTGGGTTTTTATTATTGTAACTACAGTTTTTAGGATCTAAACACTGCGTTACGTATTTACCCGATTTGTACCCTTAGGATGGTCTACTCCTGGATACTATACATGTAGCTCATTGCTATTAACAATTCATCTTTGGGTTTGAGTCCTGCTAGATGCCACCGATCTTGTGCCCTTGGGAAAGGCACTTTACACGACTTTTCTCACTTCACTCAGGTGTAAATTAGTACCTAGCTTCGGCTAGGGACGTCTCTCGGATAGGATGTTAAATGGTAGCCTCTACCAGGCTCCTTCCACAAATGTGGTAAATCATCATAAAATAAAATTTAAAAAAAATCTTGTGCAGTTCAGGGCGAAATGATTTTAGAAATTGACTTTACGTTAGTATGATATCAATAGGTCATTGTTGTTTTATCTCTGCAGACAATTGGATTTCATTAACCTGATGACGTATGATCTACACGGCTCGTGGGAAGCCGTAACGGGACTGAACAGTCCGCTGTTTCCGGCTGCAGAGGAGTCTGGGTACGACAGGAAACTCAACCAGGTCCGTACCGTTTTTGCAGGGCAAAGGTCACATGATCCGCTGAAACTAAGTCTATTCGCCAATTTCACTTATTTCACCAATTTCACAGTATCACTAATTCCAAAAAAATGCAATTATGGCATGCGCTTTATACTAGATAGATAATTCAAAACAATATAGTTGACCAGTTTGTCGATAGAACTTGTTGGAAATATTACATCGAGGAAAGGGGAGGGTACTGTATAGTTTCCTTTTCTTTGCAATTAGACCTTCAAAATGTATCCAATCTCATCATTGTTAGTATTTGCATACCTGCAATAAGATTGTGTTATGAGAGTGATGTGAAAGTTTGTAAGTAAAGCTGTCGAGATTCAAAGTTCTTGCATCTTCGTTCTCAATTACATAGCTACTATATAATTCATTTATTTTGCACTGGGGTAAGTTTGGAATAGTCCACGTTTGCGTGGGAGGGAGATGGACTGAAATATACTGTATTTGCTCCCAAGCAAATGTCGGCCTTTCTAGTTACAATAGTTTTTGCCGTATAGAATGTTGTAGTTCTGGACTGAATGTACTCTTGGGAGTTTGGAGTATTCTGTTAATGTTTTTTTTTTCATGAACTAAAACGCAGATGATTTTTTACAACTAATCTCTGATAAAATCCCCATGTACACATGCATACATGTATCAAGATAGCAAGCCATATTATATTACTGTCCTTTGTACTTCAATGCATCTCACCTGGCTATAAAATCTACACATACGAAATAGACACAGAGCCGACGATTTAGCATTATTATTATTGTCTTGTACTTCTTCCCCAAATGGCATTCTCAAATGTACGCACATGATAAAAACAGGTAAAACAGCAAATCTTCCACATCCATTTATTTTTTTAGCAAGCTGCAGTTCAGGTTTGGCGCGCTGGTGGCGCCCCTGCGGAGAAGCTGAACCTGGGGATCGCGCTGTACGGTCGATCCTTCACACTCTCCAGCGGAGACACCGGACTACGAGCGCCGACTAGCGGCGGCGGGACGGCAGCGCAATACACACAGGAGGCCGGCTACATTTCTTACTACGAGGTAAATTTCACATAGTTAGTTTTAAAACACATTTTTAATCGAGTATAATCACCAGAGAAGGGTGGATTTTGAATCTTCTTTGTTGTTTTAAGAAATTTTCGATCATTTAAAAGTGTTTCAAGCTAACGTCTCCAATTATTTAAAATCGAGAGGCTACTTCTCAAAGGTGGCTGTTACACAAGCAACTGAGTAGATGTTAAAACGGTCAGACATCTCAGATAACCTCTGAAGGTAGAAGGTACAGTACTGAACGTTTCCAACATCTATCCAGTTGCATTTGCTTGAGTAACTGTTACCTCGATATCGGAGCCCAACAATTGTTCTTTTGCACAATACAGTACTGTACCATCTATATAGCACCCTGTATAGGTACGATTTGGGGGTGTTTTTCGTGAAAAACATCGCACCGCAGCGAAACGCAATGAATGCGAAAGTACCGATGCCACCGCAGGGCAAAAAAGTCGCGGGTCTATATGACCTAATAAAGACATTAAATTATTGACAAATATTGCGTAAAAATGCCAGCAGGACAAGGGTTAATACCTGCATGTCTAGCTTTCGTCGCTATTCTTGTGAAATTAGAACGGTAAACATGTTTTTTTAACATGTAATCACCAGACGTGGTGACGACACACTCAAGTTTTTTCAACTTGTAGTAATGCCGCCACCAACACACGGGACAATACTAATTTACACATGTATCTGTTTATAGTGCCGTTAGGAAAGGAACCAAGTGGAGTGAATGACTAATGGGATCCTATCCCTCAGATCTGCAGCATGCTGACTGCCGGTGCGACCAGAGTGTTTGACGGCGAACAGAAGGCACCGTACGCCTACTCCGGGAACCAGTGGGTCGGGTACGACGATGAAGAAAGCATCGGGCATAAAGTAAGTAACCGCGTTACAGTCCAACATGTTTCATAAATTGGTATTTTGATATATATATATATATTTTTTTAAATTAGGCCACGCAAAGTTAATTTTATGGATGGCATCTAGTGCTCGAGGGCGAATAAAAAAAATTCCGGCCAAAAATAAAAATGCTACTAAACCACAGGAATACAAAGCATGTATTGTGAATATACGGCAGTACTTAGCGACGTATAGGACCAGCCGACAGATGCTGGCTTTTTGCGGATTTTTTTTTTAGAACAGACGAAAATCAATGCGCGCGCGGATGTCATCCATAAAATTAAGTCGGTGTGGCCTTACCACAGATCGACTGACTGAAGTTGGAGGTTTGGTGGCCCATCGTCCTGAAGGATTCTTATCAATAGTAAACAGTTTGGTAGCTAGGGCCAATGTGGTACTAAAGCATTTGGTAGCACGTCGGCAGAACATAAAGTACTGCGCCAGAGCGAAACTCGCAATGTGTTGTGCACATCATATTCGGCAGATTTATTTAATTTAAGGTCGTATTCGAATATGTTATGATGAAATATACAGGTACCGTCTATAATTTTCAAATGTTGAGTTGGAAAATATATCGTCTGCAACAGGCAAAATTCCCACTCTTTAATCTTCATTCAGAACGATTAACATATTCTGATGCAATGTTGATCGAACATTCAACGAAAACCGTCGAAAAATCCATGTTTCGCACAAGCGCAGTGCCAACGTGCTGTATTTGGTTCTTATAAGTAATACTAGTAGTCTAATTCCCATGGCACCACAGTTCGACTTCATGACACAATAGAGTGTTTGGTGGTAGATTTTGCACCAAAATATGAAATATGAAGTAAAATATTTAAAATATGAAATACTTTTCTCATCTAGATTGTCATTTTCAATAACTTTCAACATATTAGTGTCAGTATTTCGCTTTTCCGGCGACTCAGCGCAGCATGAGAATAAGTTGCGCCAGGCCCGCTGTATTTTTAGGAGGCTCCTAAAAAATGTCAACAAACAGCGGTTTTCGTTCGGGTATTTTTCGCAGTTTTCAAAACGATTTTGCCGCGCAACAACGTTTATCTTAAAGTTTACTCCCCAAATGTCATTGCAAACCAAGGTAGGCTTATGGCGCAAGAAAATGTGTAAAATGTGTATTATTTATTTTAAAACTTAGTAATATTTTACGCTATTCGTTAAATTGAGCTGTGCAATATTTTATGTACTATATATATGTTAGTGAAATGTACTTCAGCCTGATGGCTGCGATGTTTTACAGTGGGGTCGTGTGGCGCAGTCGGTAGCGCGTTCGGCTCACACCCCAGAGGTTGTGGGTTCGAACCCTGCCCATGTCACCGATCTTGTGCCCTTGGGAAAGGCACTTTACACGTCTTTCCTCACTTCACTCAGGTGAAAATGAGTACCTAGCTTCGGTTAGGGACGTCCCTCGGATAGGACGTTAAATGGAGGTCCCGTGTTTGGGAGAGCCACACCCCATGCACGTTAAAGAACCCACCGCACTTATCGAAAAGAGTAGGGGATCTTCCCGGTGTGAGTGGTTCAAAACTTACAGTCCGGTCTTACGCAGCTTGTACATGTGCGCACATGTACAAAACTGGTGTGTTACGCCTGAAGGCGGTTTACCGGTTATGCGAAACAAACAAACATAACAAACCAGTCATTCATTCATCCAATCATTTATAAATGAATAAATAAACGATGTTTGAAATAGTGAAAATTTTACATAATATCGCTTGAACGTTCCCATGGCACCACAGATAGACTTCCTGAAGCAGGAGGGTCTGGGCGGCTCCATGGTGTGGGCGGTCGATCTGGACGACTTCAGCGGGCAGTTCTGTCAGCAGGGCCGGTACCCGCTCATCAACCTCATCAAGAACAGGCTGGAGACCGGCGTGTTCAACGCCAGTGACGCGGGTGAGACTTTTTTTATCAAGGCAACAGCAATTAATATTTATGGATGACACCAGCCCGCGCATTAAGTTTTGCCTAATTTTGAAAAAAAAAAAGTAATTCCTCTGGCAGCGTTAAACATACCGGTAAACGTGCCGAAAATGGGCAAAGATGTCTGTTGCCATGCCGGAACATAGATGGCAGATAAATATGAAGAGAGGAGACAAGACAAGGCTCTGATTCTATGTTTTACTTTTGCTTTGATCCAGTGATGTATTCCTTTTTTTTATGTGATGTTGGCAGCAAAACAGGAAATATTCAGAATAAGGCAATTTATGTTATATTGACATATACAGCTTCATATTAGCACATTTGAATCAGCATTTCATACTTTTGTTTATTTCAAACTTCAGAAACAAGCCCCGAGATGAGTCCTTTATTTTTCGAGTGGCACCCTAAAAATCAGCCCAGAGCCTTTCCAGTAACCATTTGTCGTCAGAATTTTTGGCTAGGATAGTGTTTTTTCAACTTACCTATAGTGTGTAGATAAATGACTAGAATATTGATATTGGCTTTGAAAAATCTGGTTTCCAATGCCTAAAACTGCACTGGATGCCTTTAACAAGGATTGTGATTGCCGGCTTGACTTAAATTTGCTACCATGAGGAAATCCAACTTTTCGTGCGATGTTGTTTTCCTTGCTCCATAGTTAACGGCAGCTGGACCAGCTGGAGCCCGTGGTCCGGCTGCACGGTGACCTGCGGGACGGGGACGCGAACCCGCCGGCGGACCTGCACGGACCCCGCACCGCGACATGGAGGGGACGACTGCCCCGGGGACGCCGCCGAGACACAGCAGTGCGACACCGGAGAGACCTGCCCTGGTAAGGATAGGTATCACTAGTACTGCAGACTTCAGAACTCTTTCCAGCATCAGTCCATCAGACTCTACAGTCAGACTGTGTATTAAATCAGAACTTGCTATGCCTGGGATGTACAGTTCATATCAGTAAAGAAAGTTTATTGCAAATACATGCCCGAGGGCTAATTGCAGTTACAAACAACATAAGAAAGAAAATACAGTGGTATCTGAGACTATATCTACGTCTAGCATTATACTATATTCTACAACATGCATGGTACTATATTTACTGGGTTTGACTTCTTCTTTTTAGGCAGTGGAAGACGAATTTACCCACTTCTTCTATAATATGTGGGTTCTTTTTAAATATCCATGTATATATGTATGTAATGTAATGTAATGTTATGTGTTTTAATGTATTGATTGTAAATACCAATGTCAAATACCAATGGCAACACTATACTTCTATATACTGTATGTCTGCAATGTTGGAATAATTATAAGTAAAGAATTGAATTGAATAATGTGGTTACTTATGTAGGTACATGGTGGCAAGGTTTTCTTGTGGTCAGAGTTGTTCACTCACCTTGAGCATGTTAAAGGTCCCACCATACTTGTCCAAGTGACCAGGGGTCCTTCCTGGTGTAAGTGATTCAAACCAAACAGTCTGGTCTCAGGGTTGACAGCTTAAAGAGGTGATAGTCACCTGTTATGTCAATCCTTCCACAAATAGTAAGGTAAGGTCAATGACCCGTACCAGACGGTTATCACCATGGTAACTGGTGCTGGACAGAGCGGGGCAGAGTTGGAGGGGCTGGTCACCATGTATATGAATGTGTGTACGTAAGACTACACAGAGTTAGTGGAGGGCTAGACCGTTTGCGGGTAAGCATTGTGTATCGGCTTCGCAAATGTTACCTTTATAGTTTATCTTAATAAACGTTACTTTAATTACTGATTTCCACTGGTTCACAGTTGGAGGGGTGACTACGACCACTCCTTCTACTGCTACTACAGCTGGTGGAGGGCACGATCCTTCCAACTTCTGTGTCGACAAGGCGACAGGCTACTATGCAGACCCACAGGACTGCAAGAAGTACTTCCAGTGCGCGTCTGGGGTGACATATCACCGGACCTGCTGGGAAGGTAAGCAGTGTTTTTTTCATATCTTCTGTGCCAGCCTTCGGGTGAAATGTGTTGAAAAAAACAGTACGCGTAAGTAGGCCGAATGAAAAGAAAGAAAGATATCTAAACAAATAATCCAACAAATAATTTATGTAGGCATTAACGGTATTATTGATACCCATCCTTACCTGAAATATACATCTACTTTACTTCTCTACTTCAAATTTAAAACTTCTATTGAAAACGGATCTTTATATATAACAGTCCAAGCCAGGCCAGGCCGCTCCCTATAGCCATTAGAGTAAAAGTAATTATATATCCCTGATTTGTCATACATACCATTTTTGGTTTTTTTCTTCATATAATGATGAACGTCTTGACAAAATATGTAGGGTACACATATCATTACATATAACGTTATTATGTTTTACTGCAGGAACTTTCTGGAGCCAGTCCCTCAGTAACTGTGACTGGGAGAGAAACGTCGTCTGTAATACGAGGCGTTAGGTCAGCAACATGTTCTGACGTCACCGTGAGGTCAACCACATGTGCTGACGTCACCGTGAGGTCAACAACATGTGCTGACGTCACCGTGTGGTCAGCAACATTTGCTGACGTCACCGTGAAGACAACATCGTGGTGACGTCACCGTGAGGTCAACAACATTTGCTGACGTCACCGTGAGGTCAACAACATTTGCCGACGTTACCGTGAAGTCAAAAACATTTGCTGACGTCAGCGTGAGGTCAACAACATGTGCCGACGTCTCTGTGAGGTCAACAACATGTGATGACGTGAGCGTGAGGTCAACAACATTTGCTGACGTCAGCGTGAGGTCAACAACATTTGCTGACGTCACCGTGAGGTCAACAACATGTGCCGACGTCACCGTGAGGTCACCAACATGTGCCAACGTCACTGTGATGTCAACAACATGTGCCGACGTCACCGTGATGTCAACAACATGTACTGACGTCACCGTGAGGTCACCAGCATGTGCTGACGTCATATCTAAGTAGTTTATATATAATTTAATATTATCACCAAGTATCCCTGTACTATCTAAGGAAATGCATTTGCAGTAGGTTCAAAAATATTTGGCCGTTAGTATGCCATGGGACATTAGTTTTGATGTGGATGTTATATACGAACTCGTAACGTTATGTATCATGTCAGAATTTCTGAATTTGTCTTAACACTAGGTCTCGACGAAAGAAAACTGCTTATAGAAAAGCCATGTTAAGATTTATTTTCAAGAAAGGAGACACTGAGGCTCTAGGAATTATGATAGACAAACAGAATATCAAAGTATGTCAAGTAGCTGACGATACAACGTTATTTTATCCACCGAAGAATTATTAACTAAAGCTTTACGCATAGATCACTTTCATCAAGTCACAGGTCGTAAACTTGGTGAATGGACAATTAAAAGAAACATTTCAAAGGGATTGAGTAGCCACATTGCTGTTTCATAGGTTTCTGCCTTGAAGAAGAACGCTGATGTTCGCCGCGTGGCATACAGGATCATACAGTCTGGACGGTTGCATTGCCAATCAAGTGCGCCCTCTGTCGACATCAGCACAAACAACACGTGCATCTTTCGAGAGGTGAACCTCCGTCCGTCAATAACTCATTTGGAAACAGATTAAAGTATCCGGCTCAGTTCAGTGTTTTATGTGTGTTTTTTTGTGTGACATTTTGTAGATGTTTCTCGTAGTGCACGTAGGAGGAAGCGAAGAGTTGCACGACTAGAAAGACACTAATTTGGGGAAACGCGTAAAACAGTGAGCCGCGATGTCAAGCCATACATGATCCTGTCAAATGCATGACTCTGACACTACTTGGGGGTTTCCAGTATACCTGAGACAAGGGGTGGGAAGTGTTTTGTCTTGATTTGGGGGACTAAACCTAACCTAACCTAAGCCCAATTGTAAGTATAACCCTATCCCTAAACAATGATCCCAACTCCAGATTCAACCGTAACTCTAACCCTAACTCTAACCCTAATACCAACCCAAATCCTAACCCTAGCCCTGAGCAACTGACCTCTCACGTATGTGGCAGCTAGAGGATTTGGCTCAACACCGGATGCTTATATCCTGGGGTACCAGAGTATGCAGTGCACTTTTACGGAATGCAGTGCAATTGTATTAGTATACAGTGCAACTAGTATACAGTGCATTTTAGTAGTAAAATTGTACTGTATACTAATACGATTTATCTGTATTCCGTAAAATTGCACTGTATGCAAATACGATTACACTGTATTCCGTAAAATTGCACTGTATTCCGTAAAATTGCACTGTATTCCGTAAAATTGCACTTTTTACTCTGGCACCCCTGATATCTGCTTGGAGATGAGTTCTTAACATGGTCATGCCGCATGGACCTTGGACCGTGCAGGGTCCAGCACGTCATGGGGAATTTCCAGACCGACCCCCCGACAGAACACGTGCATGTTTGTTTAACCACACCTGGGGGGCAGGTGTCGCCACAGGACAAGGACCTTTGCCTCCATCTCCAAACAGATGTAGGGGTGGAAGAGTGTAACGTTTTCTGAGCTGAGTGTTATCCACGTTGTCTGTGTGGCTGTCAGACAAGCCTGTCAGTCAGAAAAAGCTACGAACTCCTACTTAGTACCTCAACTTCTTATTGGTAGATCCGCCATCTTTGCCGGCAGTTGTTTTTTTTTATATTCCAAAATATAATCAGAAGACGTGGTGACGGCACACTCGAACTTATATTAATGCCGCCACCAACACAGGGGAATATACAATACCAATTTTCACCTGAGTGAAGTGAGGAAAGTCGTGTAGCGTGCCTTTCACAAGGGCACAAGATCGGTGGCATGTCAGGACTCGAACCCGTCAGTTGTTTCATTGAATACGTTTGTGCAAGAAGCTCCCATCAACTTGGTTTGTGTTAGCCCAAAGCAAGTAAATTCTATATGTGAACTTCTTCGCAGACTACAAAAGCTAATACAAGAGGACGAAGTTGGGCAAAATTCAGATGCCTTATGTTTCAAAATGCAAGACTGTAGCAAGAATTAATTGAAAGCCGTAAAACATGTCATCACAGCAAACAAGTATCTTGTTCCTTATTTCAAATTCAGAAAGTGTGACATCGTACATGTGGCGGAAGAAGCATGTAAAATGGAGAGATCACAAGAACGTTATTCACAAAATTTCCAGCTGACCTCTCAGGAACTTATCAGTGTCTGCTTATGGCGGCACAACACAGTATTAGCCCTATGGGGATTTCTATAGTTAAGGACCCCAAAGTGACTCACTTCGACTCACTGAAAATCATAGTAGGGTGCACAAGCAAGGTTCAGATTTTTGATATGTTTAATTTCAGGGTATAGTGTACAAAATATGTTAAAATGAGCTTAGATTTGCCGGCTAGTTCTTTTCTCATGCCCTCTTTTATTAGCGCCACTGCGGAGGTCATGGAACTGCAGCCGAGGCACAGTACTAGGCGGGACAAGTATCCAAGCGCAAATCTACGCCGACTGAACACGCACCATAATTCAACTTTTACAGTCTCAAAACTGACGTATTCCTCTAACATTTACCACAGGTTCTATCTCGATGCCATGCACAAAACAATCTCTGCACCCTTCTCTAGTATTGTGCAGCACTACTTTGTGCCCGGACTACTTTTGACTACGGGGTTCGCCCATAAATACTGTGTTGTGCGGCCTTAACAGAAGCTGAAGCAAAGGTCAAGCACCCCCCCCCCCAATCCCAGCGACAAGAGAGAATGTTTCATTTAATATAAAAACCCTCGCAACACCATTGCCGAATTACGGTTTCTGTACACAAATACGCCCTTCAAATATTATCAGAGCTTAAGCAATATGCATTAGGAATGATTAAGAACATGTCTAAATCCTGGAAAGTCACTATTGGCGACTAACAATTCTATCAATACATTTACTGTCATTTAGCAGATGAACACAATAAGGTAACTTATACTGTTTAGCATACGTTGTGTCCGGCACTTAAGTCAGTTTCGTGCTGTTCCTAAGTGTTCTATTGTGGACCCCCCCCCCCCTCCCT